TTTCCCTATAAAATGTAGGTAAATAATAATAGCTACCTCGCAAGGTTGTTTCAAGAATTAAAAAATATGCAGAGTCCGGCATAGACTAAGTGCCCAATAAATGACAGCATGAAAGAGCTGGGAGCACAGAGCGGCCAACACCCAAAGGCTCCAAGTAAAATATTATAGTCCTTGTCAACGGGGAAAAAACTTGCAGTCAGAAGGGAAAAGGCAAGTTAACAACTCTCTACTGCCATCTCGCAAGTGAATCGCTGGAAAAAGGGGGCAGGGACTCCCCCAGATTTAACTTATATGGAATGTGTGTAAAAGCATTGTTTTCTCATCATTAGGCTTTCCTAAATTTAGCTTTATTTTCAGTCCAGAATTACAGCATTTAGGGCATGAATTTTTAAAAAGCCATGTAAAACTGTCATGTACACAAGCAAAGATAGCCAGCCTATCCCTGTTCTTAAACAGGCATGGTCTCATCCAGCGTCACTCTCGCCTGGTGGCTGCTAAATTAAAGTGTGTCTATATTCTTTCTAGAAGATTAAAAGAGCTGAGAAAAAAGGAGAAACTTGTCTAAGCTTTAGTGAAGCTTCAGCGTTAGGCTGCCACCCGTCATGATCGTTTCTGGTTCTTGCTAATTCTACTTGCAACCAGTTTGGGGACCATGAAACAGAGACCTCGTCCGAAGGAATGCCACGGAAACCAGGATTGTTTCGCTCATTTTGTATCTGATCATCTGAACTTAATTGCTAAAATAAGAAAATAAAATGTCTGCTTCCCTGGATGTTCAACTCTCCGTTTTTAAATGAAATCACGCAGTTTTAATTCAGTCTCTTCCTTCGTTCTCCTCTCTGTGTGGGGCTTGACGTTAAGGTATACTAGCTAAAAGTAAAACTAACTAGAACAATAATTAAAACAATAAATAACTAGAACAATAAATAAAAGCCAACAAACTCTTTTTTCTACCAGTTAAGCAATAATTTGTGAACTCTGTGGCGATGGCTCCCATGTCCCTTTTCTTACCTGTCACCTCCCTGAGCTACTCACCCAGGTAAGTGTACCGCCTGTTCATGATGGCTTCGTCATTCAGTTTGAAGTAGGTGTTGTCTGTGAGGTTCAGCACTTTGACCGTCCCAGCCCAGTAAAATGACCCCGGGGCGCCCATCACCACCAGCTCCTACCGAAGAGAAACCCCAAGGTACTCAGGGAAGGAAGCTGAAGAGGGGAGTGGGCAGTGAAGTGAGAACCAAAATCACACCAAGGAACCCAGAGTAAATTAAAGATACCGCACCAGGGACTTTCTTCAGCTGAACGATAAAAAATATATGTATTTCACCAGATTCTCCAGCATTATGGAATCTAGTATACGAATGGAGTTACCAGGAATACAGACCAAGATAATGAGCAAGGTGACAGAACAAGTAACATACTACGTCCCTATCCTATCTGCGGGAGAGTCTGAACATATTTCCTCATCTTTATACCAGGATCACAGAAGGAAATGGCAAAGATTTGGCATGGTCCAAAATCACAGAATTTCAGGATATCATGCCCATGAAGAGACACCACCACTTCATGCAGCCTGGCCTCCAACCCCACCATCCAGCGACCCCACCTGCCCCGTACAGAGCAAGAGGAAAACGCTGACCAAAATCAGCTTTGCGAAAACCGTGCGCTAACACGCCAGGAAATGCCCCCTCAGTCCTCACTGAGGGCTCTCTTCTCAGGAATGGTTCCAAAGCTGGGTTTTCCGACCACTGTGACCCACTGCAAACTCAGAAGAACAAAAGCAAGAGAGCAGAGAGACCCGCTAAGGGAAGGTCGCAGACTGGAAAGAGAAGAGACCACAGACAGAAAGGGTCAGCACTACTATGAAAAACAGACCTGAGAACACAGAGACATAGCTGTCTTCAGTGTTTAAATTAGGGGCAGACGGGCCTCCATCCTCAACAAGCCTGAGAGCATGTCTGTGCTACAAAACCATCAAATGACCAATACTGATGGCAATTCTAGCGCCCAGAAATGACTGTTACCTCAGAAGGGCAGCACGGACATCTGCATGTCTCATCCACAGGAAGATGCATCACAACTGTGCCAACACAAGTTGGAGATGACCGAAAATTCTAATGATCGAGATTCTAAATCATCGTACATCTACTCGACAGAATCCTACAGCAGTAGAGACTATAGAAGATCTAATGGTGCTGAATCACAACATGCTCAAGTTAAAAAGGATACACCAAACACTACATACGCTATAATCAGGTTTTGTTAAAAAAAAAAAAAGTATGCACATAAAGATCAGAAACATAAGCCCCAAAACGTGTATGGCTTTTTCTACTAGGTGACAGGATTACAGGAATATTTTCTTTCTTACTTTTATCCCTAAAGTTTCTTTTGCGTTTGTAAAATTTCTAGAACAACGATTAAACTCTGACAAGGAAGTCATCTTAGAAAATGCAAAACGTGTTCCTGGGATGACAGGATCCAGGCATTAAAACAGAGCATGCGCCGTGGGGAGGCTGTGATTGGCTGAGGGGGAAGCGGGCGTCCATTACATCTTTGCATCCGCTGGTGTCCTGACTGAAACTTTGATTTCTTCCTTCCCCAACAGGGAATCCCTTCTTTATAATTCTCTCTATTTTCTAAAGTATCTACAACTACAATAAGAAATAATACAAATTATTTTTCTAACAAAAAATCATTCATTTTTCACTGAACAATATTTATTATGCACCTACTATTACATATAAAAACTTATACTGGAAACCCAGATAAAGTCTTTGTATGATATTTCCAGGGTAAGTCAACATGGAAATATGCAAAATATTTTAGAAAAATTCTACCCAAAAAAGGTTAGAATAAAGATAACTTCAAGAGGAAACCCCTCAGCTATACAAAAACCCCAAAGATGCAGGCCATCTGGGCCTGTAAAAATGATGGCCACTAGGCAGGTGGCCTCTCATTGCCTCTCCTGGCCTTAGGAGTCCCCACACACTGTCACATTTCAGCAACCTCCTTCCAGACTGCCACTTCTCTGCAGAGCTGGCCTCACCACTGCCAGAGCTGCTGGTTTTCTCCAAGGCCCTGGAGGCCAGATCTTGCCACAAAGGGGTTCTGAGTTTCTAATGACAATTCTTGAAGTCACACTGACTCCCTAGGGAGCAAATGTCTGAAAAGTCAGAAACATCTAAAGAGAAAATTAGAGAGACGAGGACAGAGTGGGCCGGCGGGGAGCAGTGGTGGTATCAGGGCAAGGCTTTGACTGTCATGGGCTCTCAGGCCAATCTGAGAAAGAACTTGAACAAAGCACGATGGAAAGAAAGCCACCGGATTCCTGCCAGGATGGTCTGGTCTGAGAACACTTTCAGGTTCTGAGCTCCATCTGCCCCGAAGGAAGCCGTTGGTGATAAGCTGGATACTCTCAGAGGTATCTCACTCTTGTATAAAAATATATCAGTTTCTGCACACACAGGCTTCACCAATGGGAAAACACAGGCAATGCCTGCCTGCCTGCCTGCCTGCCTGCCTGCCTTCCTTCCTTCTCTCCCTTTCTTTCCTTCCCTCCTTCCTTTATTCCCCTTACACTCATCCGTTCTGCATAAGGCACCTGTGCTAGTTTCTGGAAGGGGTGTGAGAGAGACAAATGACCATTTCATCAGAGGAGAGAGACTTGCCTGGCCTTGAGCTCAGAAAGGAACCTGGAATCAGTGTCCACATGCAAAGGACACCAGAGACCATAATGAACATGCTCAGTAGCAGTGCATACACAGTGGCGAGCTCTCTGCACCTGCAGTTCTTCACCAGCCAAAGCTTTGGGCATCACCACAGACCTGTAAGGCCTTTGGACACCAGGTGGTGGGCATGCTGCTTTCTGATGACATAGATTAAAAAGGACAAAAGCTGAGAAATGCCTGTCTAACATGTCCCTGTCTGCCCTCTCTTAGACATGACAGGGAAGATAAGACCAGGTAATCCCTCTCCTCAAAAACTTTTAAAACCAACAGCTCTTTTTGTAAATCATCTTCTCTTAGTGCTCATGCCCTGTCTCCCTTCAGTTCAAACTGGATAAACTGAGGCTGAGCCTGAGACCCTGGGGCCGGGAGCAGGGGAGGGAGCATGGAAGAGTGTCTCCCTGGAACTCCCTCATACTTAGCTTTTTCCATTCTGTGCCTGTGCCCTTTTGGTACCATCCACAAGTGCCAAGAAAACGTTACCAATGCTTAGCTCCCTGCCACCCAGCAACAGCCAACGCAAATGTCACACACAAGAAACACGAGCTTCCCCATGAGCCAAAGGCCACCACCACCTAAATCCGCGTGTGGAACCCCATCGATAAACAGTGTGGGCCTTTATCAGCAGAACCTCCAGAGGTGCAGGAGTATCGGGGTGCGCTGAGAGAAGCTGAGAGTAGAAGGAAGCTTGGGACCCACAACGGAAGTCTGTAGAGAACAGCCTTCCTTCTCCCCCCGCCCCGATGTCTCCAGGCTTCCACGGTGGGCTCCGATGCTGGAGGGGTCGGTCCACTTCCTTTCTTGTTGCTGTATTACCCTAGGCTACAAAAATAAAGTTCCCAGGAAAATCCCCCTTATCCTCAATGACCGGCTAAAACTCACATGGTATCCACCACTCAAACAGCTTTGATAACCCCAGGGTCACCGGCCTGCGGGTCACGCAGGCACTTTGGACCAGAGCAGTTCAGGGCAACATGGCCACATCTGGAAGGCCACAGACACATATCCAGCTTGGGAAGCAGCTGCTCGCTCGATGCAGGGACAGCCTAGCTCACAGCAGAGGTCAGCCCAAGTGATGAGGTCAGCGGGAGGGCATAGGAGGGGAGCCGTGCTCTTTGACCTCCCTGACCACGTTTCCTGCTCAGCCTCCAACAGCTGAAGTTCCAGAAATGAGAGAGGCAGTGAGTTCAAAGACCTCCTGTTTCGGGAGGCCAAGAGCCTGGGAACTGAAGCTGAAGCCAAAGCTCAGAGTGGCCAGGAGACAGTGTGGCTGGGTCAGAGGGCTGAGTCTCCATCGCTGCCAACCCATTCCCACCACACCACGCACAGAAGCCCCACTGCTGTTTGCTCCGAGCGTGTGCTGAGGCGCTGTGCTTCCCCCAGACTCTGGACCCCAGAGGCTTGAGTTTTAACAGGTCTTCTGGCTCCTCTGGTCACCTTGAACTTGCACAGCAACCTGGGTTTCCCCTACACGCTCCTGCCCTTCCCATCCCTCCTAAAAAGCCCTCCTTCCACCCAGCCCCAATGCCCTCATCTTCCCTGATTTTCTGGCTGGTGATACCACAGTGACACCCTCTCCCCAGGAACTCTTTCTCTCTCTGAGGTCTCCATCAACTTCTCTGATGAGTTCTCATTTCTGCAGTGAGTCTACTTTTTCTGCCACCACCATCTGAAGGAGGCATTCCCCGCCTGGCTCCATGCTAAGCACATCCAGTCCCCTCAGAAGGTTACTGGCCTTGGCCAAATCTAAGTTTCTAACTCAGGCTGGGTTCCACTCCCTATATCCAAATGTCTTCTAAAAACATCTACACGCGTTCCGTGCCATCACCTCACACAGCACGTGTCTAAAGCAGACCCATCGGTTTGCCTCTCCCAGTGACCCTTCCTCGGGCAGGCCCCCTTCTGCCAGCACCATCTTTCTCCAGAACCCTGGCTCAAAACATCCTTCATCTTCCCACAGTCCTCTGGCCACCCAGCCCACTTATACTGCCTTCGCATTCTCTGACTCCTCATCATTTTCATTCCGAAAGGGTCTCCCTAGCCCGCCCTGTTGCTGGACCACAGCACAACGCCCGACCTAGCCTCCCTCCAGGCCCTCCCACTTCCAAACTCCTGGGCACACCGAGCCTTTCTTACAGCACCATGTCACCACTTGCTCATGAACTTGCAGTGGCTCCCCGCTGCCTACTGGGTTGAGTCTTATTTCACTAGACCTTACTGGAGGCATGACAACCATAGAAGTTACACAATCTCCATGCTTACTGAGATGGAAGAAGGGAGCAATCTCGACATATGGCAGGATGATATTTCAAATCAGTGGGGATAGAGAAAACTGTTTAGCACACCAGTGTCAAAATAATCGACTATACATTTAGGAAAACAATGGAGTCCGTTCCTACCATATAATGTTTGCAAAAATAAACCCAAGATGCATTAAAGACACAAATCTTTTTTAAAATTATAAAAGTGCTAGAAGAAAATATAGGTGGATATTTCATATTCTTAGGATGGGGATGACCTTTGTAAGAGAGAAGTCTAAATCCAGAAAGAAAAAAAAACTGAAAAATTTGATCAAATAATGAATGTTCGATGCAAGTACAATAAAGACACCATAAGCAAACTTAAAAGTAAAAGACTGATGAGAAAAATTTGCAACATATCTAAGAGATAAGAGATTAGTGCTGAAAATACAAGCTCCTAAAAATCAGTAAAACAACAATGATTTAAAAAAAAAAACAGATTGGACTAAAAATTTTAAGAACAATTAATTCGAATGGTCAATATTTGAAAAAGATCCTAAACTGCACTAATAATCAGATAGAAGGACATTAAAAAAAAAAAAGAGGTCTCATTTTTAATGACAAAAATTTTAAGTGTTAGTGAGAGAATGTAGAGACAGACAATGACATACAGCCGGGGGGAATGTCAACTGGTAAACATTTCTGGAGTGCCATTTGCCGGTATGTGTCGAAATTCAAATGCTGGATAGCTCTGACCTGGCCATTCCTCTACCACACACCTCATCTAAAGAAATGTGCGCTTGTACACAAGGATCTCCAGGACGATGCTGCTAGGGAGAGAGAGTCTGGCGTGTTTCGGCAGCAGCCTTTAGTCACCGTGGCTGGGGGCAGTGAGTCGGGGGAGGCGAGGTAACAGGTGGGGCTGGAAAGGTAGGAAGGCCTGGGAGTCCATGCAGAGGAGTCTGCATTTTATTATAAGTGTGATGAGAAGACACGGGAAGGTTCTGAGCGAAGAAGCATCGCAATATTTTACTTGTTTCTAAAAGTTGGTTATGGCTGCTGAGTGGAAACAGTCTGTTGGAAGGTGAGGCAGGAAATCGGGAGGGTCTGCAGCGGCTAGGAGAAAGACAGCTGCGTCTTAGATTCGTAGGGTGCCAGAGGAGGTGGAGAGAAATGTCGTTTTTATGGTAGGTTTTGAGAGCACAGGAGGTGGGACTTGCTGATGGTTCAGATGTAGGAGAGTAAGTGAAGAATCTTTTTAATTTTGTCCCGAACAGCTAGGATGATCGGTGATGCCATTCACAGGGCCTAGCATGGAATTCTGTGTAGACTGTCACAAAAATGACAGTGAGTGGAATTTCAGCAATAAGAATTGCTGAAAGTCAGAGGTGAGGGGCTGGGAGGGAAGTATCTCACATTTATTGGTTTAAGAATGAAGGGTGATAAAATTTCTGGCTTTTCAACCTTTTCCAAGTTGCTTTCCAAACTAGACACCATACTGCCAACTATTTTCTCTTTGAATTTAAATAGCAACTTTTGGAAGTTAAGCTGAGTAGTTTTGCTCTTGATCAGAAAGGGTGCGCTTCAGAAAGCTCTGGAAACCAGTGGGTGCTCTTTTCGCCCCCTCGATGTCACGTGTCCTCCTGAGCTCTGCTGTCCTGGAGTGAGTGAAGGCGAACTGAAGTCAGCGTCACTAAGCCCTTGGGCCAGCACGGTGAGTGTGAACTTTAACCTCCTACAGGATGAGCAGCCAAAGAGTCAGGATGACAGGGTTTGGTTTTGAAAGATTCCTCAGGCTGAGGGGCCGGAAACACAGGGCAGGGGTTGAGAACGGATACAGACTGAGGTGATAAAAATACTCTGAAACTAGACAGTGGCACAACATTGTGAATGTACAAAATGTCACTGAATTGGACAGTTTAGGATCGTTATGTCTTGTGCATTTTACCATGATAAAAAAAAAAAAAAAGAAAAGAATGGACCCTGAGACCGGTTCGAGGCCAGCGTATCAGGGTGATGACGGGGGCTTTCTAGAAGGGTGGTGGTGATGATGAAGGTGATGGTGGTGGTACTTAAAGCTGCCATATTTGGGATATGTTTTGGAGGTTCACACAACGGGATTGTAGAGGAATTAGAAGTAAAAAGTACTTTTTTTTTTTATTGGCCTGACCAACTAGATGGATGATGGTGCCACTTACAGGGACCAGCATGGGACTTTGCAAATGGCAGACGATCATTAAAATGATTGAGAAATGAAGAGCTGATATGAAGGTTAAACTTACAACGGGTAAGAATCACATAAGAAAACAGTCCCTAAAAATGTACCACAAGCCAAGGCTCATGTTATGAGCACAGAGGCACATAAGCCTTCGAGTCCATGGCCCTTCGGAATTTGGGGAAGGGATGCTGGAGCTGTGTGTGAAATCAAGTCTCTGCTCTAAGAAGGGGAATGACAGAAGTCGATACTCATGTGCTGAATATATCTTCTCATCTGCCAACCATGAGACACAAACTTGGCTGGGCGCTGTCTCACTTGCACCCCCTTTAATCAGTTCTTCCCACGGGTCTCAGCGTCAAGCTGACTCCTAGAGCAATCCTCCGAATGAGCCAGCCCACGCCCTCTGCCCAGTGGTCTCTGGCCAGCAGGTGCTCTTGCCGCTTCAATGGCCTTCCCTGGATGTGAGGGCCAGAATCTACTCATTCACGGCTCAGGTACGTGAGGGCATCAGAAGACCAAAATGGGGACTACCGAAATCAGAACCAGAAAAAAAACGAACACCCACAGGGGAGGAGATGTGCCCGGACGGCCGACACCCACCTCGGTGAAGAAGCCTGCTATCCCAGCCTGGCAGGAGCCGTGTTCCTCTCCGTACTTCTTCTTGTACTCTGGAGGGGGAGAGAAGGGAAGAGAACAAACCACAGCCTCATCAGTGTGTGCCAGTCGTGTGCGGGGCGGCCGGGTGCTGGCCACTTCCCCCAGTGCAGCTGGGGCCCAGTGCAGCTGGGGCCACTTCCCCCAGCGGGCTGGGCCCCGGGACACCGTCCAGACTGCGGCGCGGAAGGAAAGTCTCAGGAATCCACCAGACCTCAAAAATCCTGGCTCTGGTGCCATCAGGTAGTGAGGTTGCCAAGTGCCCCCCAGAGGACTTCCTACGAGCATGTGGAAAAAGAACAGTAGCTATGGTAATTAAGTGAGAGGCCGACAATTATTTCATTTATTTCGGAAAGGACGGAGAGCCCCAGTAGGAAGGATCTGAAAACATGACCCAGAAAAGAAATGGTGTAGCCCTCCCAGTGTGGAGTCCCCTGGAAGATGACCAAGCCTCCCCAAAAAGACACGCCATACAGCTGGAGGTAATGTACTTTCTACCATCCAGCCAAAAGCCACCTGGAGAGCCTGGGGGATGCAGAAAGAGGCACGGGAAACACTGTCACTGATGGTGTACAGTGACACTACATACTGACACCTCTGTCTCTCTTGTTTCACACAAGGAAATGGGGAGGATCTCTCCAGGTCAAAAGAAAAAAAATGGAGAAGCTCTCCTCCCTCTCTCCCCCGGTCCCCAACACTCCGCCCTGACAGAGGGGCCATTCTGTTGCTTAACATGTTCTAGGCACTGTGTTAGCTGTGTCTACTCACACCACTTCACTGATCCCTGGGAGCCTACATTGCCATTTATTAACATATAAAACTCCTTAGGCTCAGAGGGGTGAAGCGAACTGTCCAAGGTCACACAGTCAGTCTGTGGCAAAGCCAGGATTCCACCCCAAGTTCAGCAGACTCGGAAATTCACATTCTCTTTACCTCTGTGGCCTATCAAAGGTTTTGCAAAGTGAGTGAGTATACAAAACCTAGGAAATGACCAGTCATCAGATATAATTCCATGGGTAAAGACATGGAGATGGAGAGATAGTCAGCTCAGGTGACTCAAATTAATTACATGTGAAACTGACATTGCTGGGCACTGGCTCACGGCTGCCCCTGGGTACCTTCAGGCTGGGGCTACCCAGAAACATAACCCAGTAACCCCACGTTACCCCCTGGGTTCTAGGCAAGTCCCTGGTACCATTAAAAGCAACATACTTAATTTTGAAACTTTTATACTTAAATATACAATATACTTAAATTCGAAACAAAATAAATAATACAAAAGAACAATGAAGCCATGATTGCAACACAGTGCCACTTCCTGCAGCTCAGAGTGTCTACTGGAGGAGAAGGGGGGAAGAGGACCCTGGGGAGACATCCAGAGTAATTCAGTTTCTAATAACACTCACCACAGAGCCTGGTAACATTTTCCAGTAAGTGGCCATTAACTGACTGCTAAATTACAATGGAATGTCAAGTGAGTTTCTCCTCTTCCACGGGAGGCGAAAGCAGTTCCTCCCGCTTGTCCTGTTATTACAAGGAGAACTCACATGTCTGCCAGAAAGCAACCCGGGGCGAACGGAACTCGCTTGTTCTTTGCAAAATCTTGCACCACGGCTGCAAGGGGGCTTGTGCAAAATCATAAATAGATCCTGCATCAAATTGTATGATGGCAAAAAACAATCAAAATTAATCATATAGCACAATGGCAAGAAACATCAAATCATTCCAACCTGAACAGCTATGTTAAGTCTGGAAGGTCTGGAAAAACCATATGCACACCATCGACTCTAGGGGCTAAACGCCCAATTGTAACTCACAAACAAATGAAACACAGAAAGGAGATTCAGATGCCACAAGCAGAACGAAACTACATAGTAGGACACACCAGTTCGGCCTCATAAATTTATGACATTAAGAATTATTAGGCATTCTTTCACATTTTATTTATTTATTCATTCATTTTTTTAGACGAGGCAACCCTTGGTTGACCTCACAGATTTCAAGGACCTTGTCAGCTTACAATCCCTTATTTTTTACGCCTACAGCACCTGGTCTTCCTAGGTGGTCTCCCATCCAAGTACTAACCAGGCCCGACCCTGCTTAGCATCCAAGATCAGATGGGATCAGGCTTGTTCAGGGTAGCATGGCCGTAAACTCAATCTTTCATGTTTTAAAGAAGAAATGTGTCTCAGTGTCTCTTTTGTGACAGGGACTCAAAAATAGTAAGAACACTTCACTGTCCCTTTCCACCTCATCCCTAAATTGTACAGGTGAGCTCTATGCCAGGAGCAAGACCCAGGATTTCTGAGGTAGCCATGACCATACTGGGAGCTGGGAGTACCCCACTCTTGGTCCCAAAGTAAAGGCCAGGTAGAGCCCTTTCACCAGCATCCCTGCCTCAGCCAGCATAAGGGCACCAATGAGGCTAGCCCTTGTCCAGTATAGGGACTGCATCAGAGGTCTGAGGCACCATCCCACTGGCTTTGATGTTTCTGAAACCCCAGGGTCTATACCTGCCTTCTCAAGATGTTCTAGACAAGGAGTCAAGCCACATGGGGCTCCTGACTCATTCCCATACCCCATAATTCCTGCAGGCCATGTTCCAACCTCCCAGGATCCCTGTGACTCTGTGATTAACCCCTTAACTTGAAATAGGATCCATACCCAGTGCTTCCACCCCACCCACCCCATCACACACCCTTTGAGGACAGGGCAGCTGTGGCAACTCTAGGTAGGCTCAGCTGGCATTACTGGCTTAGACGGTGTCACACACCAGGCCTCCCACAGCCTTCCAGACCCCTCCTCAGCTTCTCTGTCTAGATGACCTTTCAGGTAACAGTAAACGAAACCCTCTCCTCATCATGAAAATGTTTGTTCAACACAAAGATGAGTTCATTCATCTCAGTGCCCCAGTGCCAGCCCTGTGCCAGCTGCCTGTGTGTGCTGGTGATGTGAGCTGAGGGCAGGTGTGCACATGCTGCTCCGTGCAAGGGCCAGGCACGCACCTCCTGACACTAAGTACCTGAACTGTCCAACCTGCTTCACTTTGGACCTCTTGCCCCGCCTTCCAGCCCTGCCTTCTCTCTCCCGACTTCTCAGGCTCCCTGACCTCAGCCCCAGCTCTGCTTGAAAAGGAGCTGTGTTCTGGGTACCAGGCATTCTAGGTTTTCTACCTGATGCCACCACTAACTACAGAGGCCCAGGGACGGTGGTGGGTGTGATCAGAGCAGGGCAAGAACCAACGGGATGGATTTTTCTGAGCTTTCCATACCCAGATCGGCTGAGGCTACCTGGAGCAATTCCATCTCCTCTTGGGCCTCAGGAGGAATATTCAGGTCCAGTTCTTCAATCTCTGTCCACCCTCTAGCTTGACCCTCCACTGACTGTCCTCAAACACCCAAGAGGAACTGCTGAGACACAGGTGGGACAGCCCAGCTCGAGAGAGGCAGGCCCAGGAAGTCGCCATGCCTGTGTCCAAGTCCCGTCCTCCTAGGGAAAGTGTTCGTCTTCTAAAAGTGAAAGCCCTCTGAAGAATAGACGTGAGCAGCCTTCACAGAAGACTCTGAAGCTATTCTTGACCGATCACATCTTGAGATGTGACGCCATTGTGCAAGGATGGCCGCCCAAACCCCACAGTCTGTGCCCAGCCTGCTCCTTTTCAGTTTAAAAAAAAAAAACAAAAAACAAAACAAAACAAAAAAACAATACCTAAGAAGTTTCTCCCTGATCCACTTTCTAAATGTCTGCATACAGGCCTAAGATATGGGTATGGTAGACCCACCTATGTAGCATACCTGTATCCTAAAAAAAAAAAACTTGATTTTGCTTGCCTGCACCTGAGACGGCAGGAAAGCCTCTCCCACAGAACTACGAGAAAGGTGGTGGGTGTGGGGACAAGGGATTGGCCGGGGCACAGCAACCCCAAGAAAGCCTCCAGGTCCCACACTGTCCCTCCACTGAGAAGTGCAGGGTGGAGGGATCTGCGGTAGGACCTTCAGGCCCCTCCATTTCCAGGAAGAATTTTTCCTGTACACACACACAGGCTGTGGGCCCTGCAGCAGGCTGCTCCTGGGCACGGCCACTGAGTCTCCAAATGCCCCCAAGGACATGGCTGGGCAGAGAGAAGGCTGCCGCATGCTAGCTGCCTCCCTCTCCACTGTGGAACAAACATTTATCCACCTCAAAGCAGCAAGGGACCATCAGGCATAGTGTGACAGCAGCTCACAGATGCCATAACAAACCTAATGCTGTTAAATTTGAGGGAACTGAATCTGGGAAGCAAAAAATGTGGTTGAATGAGGAGACCTAGCAGTCATTTGGGGGAGCTGGGAACGGCTCTTTCTGCCATGTCTGGGTTTAAATTACTTGACCTGCGTCATGAGCTTTGATTCTTTAAGTTGTACGGCTCCTCATTCTAAAAATGGTAGTATTTTCCTTGGTTTAGCTGCTGGTTTTACTAAACCCTGTCTAAACAGAAGGCAAATCAGAGAGGGAAAATATCAGTTTCCAAATGTTCACAAGCCACAACTCAATGCACGGAGCTTACACTAATGAATTTTAATTCATTCAAGAATGAAATTGGGTGTGGTCGCTTCCTGCACACTTCCCAGATGCTGGTGGGATAAAACCAAGCCATGGAAAAATAAAGATTTATATACAGTGTAACATATACCCTTCCTTCTAATCTCTCTTCCTATTATGCATTTGAGAATGTCTCATCTTTCCAAGCTAGTCTTTTTAACACATCAATTTTAAAATTATTTTCCATAGTTCCTTAGCTTAGCCATGAAATAAAATATCAGATTAAAAAAAAAAATAGCTTTCCAGTCTTAAATTATTTGATTTTTTGCTCAATTTCTGAGTGAATACTAAATAACTGATTAAACAACAATTTAGAGGACAATGCATTCAGGGAGATATCTCTAGTAACAAAAAGGATGTTTAAACACACATAACTGAAGAGAGAACAAAACTATCGTCAGCTATGAGGAACCACCATCTGAATGGAAAAATA